GTCCCTTCCTTGGTGAAAAGGGGGACCCCCTCCGCCGATGGTTTTCGAGCGTCTATCGATGCTGGCCCTTCCCTTTCCATTCTATCAGCGGGACACAGGGCTCTCCTCGGCTTTGAGCTCTTCCCCCGATGCCTGAATGCTCCTTTACCGAGCAGAGGACTCGCTTTCTTTTTGGTAGACTGATAAAAATCACTAATCAATAAATTGCGTTTGTAAGATCAAGCTCAGCTCGTGGATCTTTGATTCTTTTAGACAAGTCGTTGGTCTTTTCGATTTTCCTTTGACCTAGTATGAATAGTAAATGGGTATAGTCCCGGTTGATGCTGCTGACATAGATGTAGATGGGGCGCCTTGATTAAGAGGTTGAGGGGGCCTCCGATCCTCTTTCGTGTGCAACGGTTAAGAGTGGAAAACCGCTCCTCTAACTTGAGTGGCTTGACGCTCCTATGACAGTCCTAGTTGGAACTCGTACCCCCCCCTCGCTATCTATCGTCAGTTATTGTCCCAGGCGAGGAACTGCTTGTATCAGACCTGATTCTCGCGCAGCAAGATCTTTTGTGAGTGCCCTTCCTTTGGGGCTTGAGGCTCATCTCACGATGTTCGTCTTGTCTGATTGTTTTTGTCTTGGTTGGTACGCTCCCCCTTGTGAAAGAAGTCCTCTATCTGCACACTAACCTGGGAGACTTTCACCCAGTTTTTCCCTTGATGCTTCTAAGCCGCTTTGAATTGGCCTGTGCCCGTTGATGAATCATCAATCCATTCAGCCGTCACGTCAGCCGAGAAGACGGACTTGCTGGTATCGTCAAATAGAGTATAGAATCCTTCTTCCGCTCTAGTGGCGGGTTTATCTTTTCATTAAGTAGCCCCTCATTAACCTCGTACACTGAGTCAAGCAACTTCTCCTTTTCTGTCATGAAGAGGAAGTGAGATGATGACAATGCGGCTGGGAAAAATCCATATCAATCCATTTCTTCTATAAGAGAATTGGATCCCGACCCAGACCTAAGAAATGAAATTAGATGCCGATTTCATTCCAGTAGTACCCGTTGCTTCTTTTGTTGGGTTGGTTGGAGTGCTTTAATCAGACTTGACCGAGTAGATCATGTTGGGATCTTCACCATGAATGATCCTCCGGGCGAAGCATCTCATGGCACACCATTGATCAATAAGACAGGAGAAATAGAATAGACAGGGATAACCCCCATTCCTATCAGCGTGAAATGACATTCATTCAATCAGTCCTCTCCTCCGCTCTCTCTGTCCCTGGCTTCTACTTTCACATACCTTCTGGCCTCAGTCGTTGACTTTGCCCCTTCCGCTCCTCCATTTAACAAGCAATTTAGTGGTTGTTCGCTCCTGAACGAAGCTATTGGGACAGCGGCTTTGATAGCGCTTTCTCAATGAGAGAGATCATATCGTGGTAGAGCTCCTATCCGTGCTTTGACAAATCCCTCTCTGGCGTCATCTACTGGCTGACTGCACACTGCCTTCTGCCTGACTATGGCTTTTAGAAAGCAAGATCCCTCCGTTTATCACTCTATAGAAAGAACATCCCATACAGAGTCTTTCAACTAACAACTAAGCTATTCGAGCCTTCACCTAAGCTCTCATCGATAGAGCCCCTGTCTCTTTGATTCTTGTATACAAGTCTGGTAGTCAATTGTTCTAGCAAGGATGGGCTAGTTGCCTACTCTCGCCTAACCCGCCCCTTTGACTGATGATCAATATGACAAAAGTAATCTATCTTGATCCTTATATGACGCAATTCATAGATTTGGGCAAGTCAGAGTGAAATCAAAGTCAAGTTATTGGCGATCATACCTACTCAATGAGAATGCTCTCAAGTCCAGTCAATGTCTTTTTGATGATACGATTCTCAGGTGCGAACTCAAATAAGGAGGGGGCCCCACCAGTCATAGTGTTCACTCTTCCCCATAAGAATAAGAACAAAATTCCTGGGGTTTTTTATTCCTTAGTAGCTTTGACAACATTCGTCTCTGTGTGAGCCCTCATCTCATGCTCCTACTACCTCTTAACTTCAAGTGGGAGTGATGGACGAGTGAAGATCGCCAGCTCTTTCTTCCCCGTGAATTGACTTCAACTGAAATCGGGCGGACCGGCTTCTCCCTTTGAGCATAGCATGCTTTTGGGGAGTAAGTCACTTAATATAGTATATTATGTGAGAATCGATTCTTACATCACATCAAAATAGCATGTCTATATACTTATCTACAGGCAGTTCCTCTTTTTTACCTTCCATTCATTTTGAAAGAGAAGGTTTCCTCTCACCTAAAGAATGGATCAGAGAACGACGGCCTACGCATTGCAGCCACAACATTACTGGGCAAACTAGTATAGATTTCGGAAACTCCGGATCCCCCTAGTTGAAGACTATCGCCCACAATTAGAACCATCTAAAATAACGTCTATGATGGATCCATTACGAATGTCTCGTCCCAGAAGACCATCACTCAGGTTTCACTGATCGAGCAACGCGGTTATTTCGCGGACCTTTCTGTTCCTAGTTAAAGTGTAGGCCTTTTGGACTTAAGCTGGGATTTGGTATTTCGACCCAGGTGTTACTATCATTTCTAGGCATCGTCTGTACTTAACAGTTCCCTTTAGTGTAGTTTCTCGGAGATATCTGGATTATTAAAAAAAAAAAAAACAAAAAAAGGGGACGAAAGAGAAGAAAAAAGGTAGTTTACTTGCTTAGTGCTTGTGCGCTAAGGGAAGAAAGATCGAAAAGTCGAAACTTTCGAAAGCGCACTCACTCTTCTCAAAATCTCTTAAGAGAAGAAAGATCTACGCTACGAAAAGGAGCGAGCGGAGAGAGCATAAAGAGCTTACTTATAAGGTACGAGCTTAGAGCCTTGCGTCACTCTGGTATGCTAATCACTTCGTTGTACGACTCTGGAACGGTAGTCGCTTAGTGCGACAGCACTATGGGATGCAAAGAAGCTTCGTCACCCTTCTTGAGTTTAGTTGCTTCTACTTTTTTCATCGAGATTGGGTTGGTGTTCAGTGTACCGCTTGTGTAGCCTATGCGCGGGTACAAGATCGAAAAGAATGCGTTGCATGGAAAAGTGAGATGTCCAAGATATTAAGAACGAGGGGAAGAATCGACGAGGAATCTAGACTAGAGAGGAATATAGAACATCAAATCGTGAATGAAAAAGAAAAAGCGTGAGGAGAATTCTCAACTATATATGTTAGAAGGTGCAAAACTAATAGGGGCCGGAGCTGCTACAATTGCTTCAGCGGGAGC